TTTTCAAAGATAAGTTTTGGGGACAAAAATGGGTTAGTTGTTATAGAAATATCGTAAGGCTTGACAGAAAATAACATGGCAGAAAATTATGACAGAAATAGCAGAAAGCCACTGTGGGGCTCTGCAGTATCTAAATTATCTTTTTATATCCCAGGATTGATAGTTCTACAATTATTCTCTAAGTTTCAAAACTTCATTTCCCTTGGGTCTCCCACTGCTATTGTATTTTCTCTTTTCCTGTAGGGACTCCACTTAGGTCTATTGTTCTTTTAATTTTTTTTTTTTTTTAACTTACAAAATATTTAGTTTATTCCTTAAGCTATTTCCTACTAAAAATAAATATTTTGTACTAAAATTTTTTTCAGTGTTTCCCAATCTCTTCTTATTGTGGATAGTAATGTTCAGGAGGGATCCAAGAGTGTAGCATGATCTGCTGCAGATAATAAAGCACAGATCTGTGAGCACTGGCAATAGGTAGTGGAAAGGAAGTGGCAGAAGACAGAGGTACTGAGGACTGTGAAGAAGGGAGGTGAGGACAGATACTACTCCTGCCTCTGATGATAACCCACAGACCAGACTCCATGGCCTGATCCTGGTCTCCTGTTGTCCTGTTAGAGCAGCAACAGCCCCATAACAAAATCTGACACACTCTCCAGCATGTTTGCAAGGAAACAGCACAGTGCTCAGAGAACAACTCCAGGGCAGTGCATCTCACAGTAATGCCAGAGCTGTACACCATCACCAGCACTGAGGTTTGTGAGAAATCAAACACTAACAAGAGAATAATATTGCACATGCATTAAGGAACACACATGCTTTTTTCTGCCCTGTCCTACACAGCACTGACTGTGCTGGTGTGCAACCATCCAATCCTACTGAGCACCTGCTGCTGATTCTTGAATGCCGACTGACACTTTCGGGTATCTGAGATTTGTCTTATTGTTAGGAGTGCTTGTTGACTGTGCTGAGGTAAGGAGGTTTTTTCCATGCTGAAGGTAAGGCCACTGAATTCCTGTGTTCAAATTTTGGGAGTTTCTCCCCTCCCCTGGTGTTTTGAACTAGGTGTCTTGGCCATCTTAAAACCACTGTCTGCAGTGCTCTGGCTGTGTCTTGCCTCAGGAGCATTTGATAGTGTAGAATATCTCCTGCCCATGTCACCATTGCCCTGCTCAGTGCACTTCACTGCAGAACCTCTACATCTGCAGGTCATTGTGGCATGACTGCTCTTTGTGTACCACACTTATTTGTGTGTGGTATTAGGGGAACAAGCCTGCAGCTTGTGTGAACTGCTGTAACTACAGTGGTCTTCAGCTGAAAATCTCAAATGCAGCTAATTCTGCTGAGGTTGCTAAAAAAAGAAACAGAGTTTGCTTTGTTGGGGGGCCATGAGGTGGATTTGTGCACAACAGGGAGTAAAATGGTTTGACCCCAGGAGCCTCCCTGACAGCTCTGTGCTTATTCTCCTGATGGCTACAGTCACACTCTTATTCTCTCTCCATTCCTTCCCTTCCTGGCTCCTTACATGCTGCTGTTTTTTTTTTTTTCTGGGACTTGCAAAGTAACCCAAAGGATGACTTAAGTTCTGTTGTGTGGCACCACGAATATCATACAAATTGGAGTTTTTTTACTGAGGAGGTCTGTGTGTAGCAGTTTTTATGTTGTGCTATGCAGTTTTTTCTCTGGGTGTAATTGTTATCTTCAAAGACGTGGCACATCTGTAGGTCTGAGAAGGGGCTGTTCCCCCTGCCCACTTTGGGCCTTGTGCCTGACTGGAGTGAGAATCAGCAATGCATTTTGTGGGTATGGCAGAGGGAGCTGATGTCCCTGACAACTGCACCACGTGCAGAGAAGGGATGGGTACAGCCCTGTTGAGAAGACAACTTTGCTCAGCTTTAGCTGAAGAAATGAAAGCTCAGGATACTCCTAATGACAGCAAGTGTCTCTCCTGGCTTTCTCCCAGGGGGGAAGATGACCCCTGGACACTGCAGGGAGATCTGCACAGGGAACTTGCCAGTGGCCCTTCGGAAATGATTGCTGAGCAAGGAGGCAGCACCTTTTCTGCTGACACCAAGGGCAGCAGCAAAGGCAAGGGTGGGACAACTGCTGGAAGGAGGTAACCCTGCAGCAATGGGCCAGAGGCATTTCCACTGCCATCTCCTGCCTTTTCTATCACTTTCTGTCTGTCCTTGAAAAAGTTACACAGGGACATGTTACCAACAGAGCATCCTTGGGAGGTGAGGGAAGATTGTGTTACGCTGGAAAGTATTAACAGTTGCATCAATCACAAGCCTGGTCAGAGCAAATAGATGTCCTACTCACCCTTTATCCAGGCTGAATAGAAGATGCAATTAAATGGCTCTCATACAGCAAGAGCAGGAACAGCTAAAGCCATTACCCAAAGCCTGAGCAGAAGTGTGTGGGCTGAAGCACCATAACCCTCAGCAGAAGAGGGACAGAGAGGGGTGAGCTGGGGCTGGCTTGGAAAGGCAGCAGGTGAGAGCATGGAAAGCATGAGAGAAATGGAGACCTCCAGGAATGAGCAGAGGCAGTGCTCCTGTGTCCCAGGGTTGGCAGGCAGGTTGGTTTGGAAACCCTGACCTGAAAAATTGCCTCTATCTGTGCCAGAATAACAGGTTTAGACCAAAGAAATAACCTTTTAATAGAACCCATCTTAACTTTTTGGGAGGGTGAAAAGCCCAGAAGAATATAGGGTAATTTGGGACTAAATTATGAATTATGAATTACTTATGAAGCTGATCTAACTGGGGAAAAAGTATTATCAAATGTGCTAGAGGGGTGGGATTTACCACATGTAAATAGTGCAATGAATGGATCTGTGCCTGACTGAATGGCCTAAATTGTCCTTAAGACACTAGAGAGAAATGGGCAGTTTTACGGAAAGCTTCATGTCTTCCTGAAGAAGGTGTCTAAAACAGGTCAGATGAATTGGGCTGAGAACTGCCTGCTTCTCTCTATTGACATTCACAAGAGTCTAGACATCAAGCTGAGATAGAGATATCCACACTATATATGTCTAAGGTTAGGTAAGATGAATCCCATCCAATAAGTCTCTGTGCCTCTACCTGCAGGCAAGGAAAGGAATGTGAATAGTGATGGATGAGAGGAGCATTGAATTTCCTGCAAACATTCATCCACTGTTTCTGTGACTGGGCTTCAGCTGCATTCTCATGTATTTGTGCTTTCCATTAATGCTGCACGACAGTACAAATGCCAGTGAAGGTGAGTTTCATGCTTGCACACACAAAACTTGTGGGAAGAAGATTGTCAATTTTGTCTTGCAGGTTTTTTGCACCAAAACTGATGGCTATATTTACATTCAGCCAGGCTATCTACACAAACTGCCCTGAACTTCTGACCTCTTTAGGCACAATGAAAGATAACAAAGATGAAGGCTGTATATTTTCTTTGACAGAATTATGAAGGCCAGGACATAAGTCATTTAAACAGAAAGGATTGAACAGGCCACGGGGTGTATTGGCTGCTGCAGGGAGAAGAGCATTCAGACTCATTTTGTCAGAGAGCTGGTGGATGCTGCTGATGGAAACACAGCTGTAATCTACATAGGAACAGAAGCAAGATACTTCCTTGCTGGATCTGGTGTGTCAGCCAGGGCCAAGTCGCCCTCCTAATTCTTCCTGTCATTTCTGAAAGATTTATTTCCCAATGGCTGTGCTGGAGAAATGGGCTCCGTATCCCAGGTCTCACCTTGTCCATGAATGTATCAGGAGCCATCCCAGGGGTCAAATTCTTTTCCTGCCCACAATCCAGGCAAGCCCATCATCTTTAAGGGTCTCACAGAAACATTAATAAGAAGAAAAATATGGCCACCATTGTGTTATTCTGATTGAACTTTTATGGGTGACCAAAGTGTTCTTTTCAATGTGTATTAGGTATACTTGCTATGAAGCAGAAAAATGTTTAGCCACTTCTCAGCTGCTAGTAACATTTCAAACCCTGCCATCAACTACCTGTACGCAATGGATTTTCTTTAAATAACTCTTGGCAAATGCTTGACATCTGTTTTCTCTAATTAATTCTAACAGTCATCATACTTCACTGCATATGTTGAAAGCTTTCAAGGATGATAAGAGCTACATACAGCATTTCAATCATGGGAGTCTGTATTGCAACCACTACTCCATGAAAGCTCCAGCATAGTTCATTCTGAAATGTCAGTGAGAGAAAACCAAGATGAAACACCTGCTGAATGTGAAAATAATTACCACATAAGTTAGGGAGAATTATTTCAGAATTCTGGCTTTTGATTTTCTTGCAATTGTATTCTGGATTAAAAGGAAGCAATCACTAGGAATAAGGGGCCTAGACAAGAGCTCATTCCTGTGGAACTATGGAACAAAAAAGTTCTCTAAAGTAAATTCAAAGCAAACGTAGTTAATGATGGGTGAACACAAGGGAATTAAAAGACAATAATTTAATTCCTATGTATTTAGAATAATATTATTTATATGTATTCCTGCCCCCCCACTGCCATCTCCCAAAATGCCCTACGGCCTTCATACTCTGAGATGAGAAACTGCTCCAGAACAACAAATGTCAGAGAGTGTGCCTGTGTCAGTGCTGACCAGACCCAACCCTGCTCCCATTTCTGCCCAGTGGATTTAGTTGCTGTTCTCTTGTTTCCACCCACACCTGTCTGCCATTTGCTATTGTGCTCTTGCAGCCTGGAGGTTCCCAGTGACCTGGGATTGACAGCAAACTGCAGGCTCTGCCAGGGGCAACAATAATCACTCCGACCAACAAAACGACACAAAAATCAGCAATCATAAACAGATCTGATGCTGTTCTCAGAAGAGGAGTGCACTCTTCAACATCACCTTTCACTTGCCTCTAATCACCCCTCACACGTTTTGTAAACAGAACAACAGAGACCACTTAGATAACAGGTTAATGAGTAAAGGAGCTTGCTGACATCCTTTTGGGAAAAAAACATGCAAGTGCTGCATAAACCTTAACTGCAAGTGACTGGAGAGTCTCGTCCCCCATCACGCGTGGGAGCACAGCAGTCACCTGGCAGTGCCCCACAGCGCTGGCAGCAGCAGGGCTGGGCTCAGGCAGCGAGGGGCTGCAGCCGCAGCTCGCTGCGAGGGGAGCAGCGGGGAGGAACTCTGTGCCAGTGAAGTGCCTCGCTGCCAGGCAGGACTCTGAGGTGGCATTTAGTGCCCTGCACAGCACAGCATTTACAGCTGCTCAGCTGTTGAGCAAAACCCTCCTCTGTCACTCCTTAAGACCCTCGTGCCTTTGCTGGTGAGTCGTAACTCCTCAGTGCTCTGCAAGTGGTGCACCACTTTGTGCTTGGCTTTGGGCTCTCTGTGGTTTATCTGAGGTACCCTGAAGTCAGAGCTGGAAATCAGCATGAGGGGAAGACACAAGTTGTTAATATTTGTTGTTTTTTTCCCTTGCAAAGTGCTTATAATGCCCGTTTCCATGTTAACACATTGCAAAGTGTCTTCTCAATGTTAAGTGTCCGATAATGGCAACAAAACCCAGCACAGATAACGTGTTAGAAGGATACACAGTAAATCAGACAATTTAATGAATTCATAACCTTTCATTTTATTTCCTTCCTGTGAGATAATTTTAGCCAGTGTCAATAGGATTTGTAGGAAGGGGGAATGAATAGTGATCCTACCTCAACCAATAAAACAAAATCCTAATTTTCTGTCTTTTATCTTTTCCCATTCTTTTGTGCGCCTCTTTGGCCTTGTCAAAACATATCGTTCAGTTAGAGACTAAAAATATTTTCCCATCGATTGGGGTTATTGATTTTTTTTAATCTGTACTTTGGCTTAGAGAGCTCGGGTGAAGGGTGAAAGTTCACCGGCTTAGTCCGCTGTTTTATCTGGACAGCAGAAGAATGTATTGGCAGCAGATTTGATTTACCTTGTTGGTCAGCTGTAGTCACTCCAAGCTCTGCAGACAAGCAGCAAGCATATTTTGCTGTCTATTTTATTGTACACTGAACTTCTTGAAGGTCCAACCTCTCTATTGATTTATCTCTCAATTTCCAGTGGCCTATGTTTCCATTCTTATTAACATAAATGTATCAGAAATCAGATTCCCTCTCAAAGATATATTGATCATTTATGAGCTTTGAAAAAAGTCTGACATGTATGCCATGTATTTCAATCATTCAGGGTCCACAAGACTGATACATACTGAGTAATAAACAAATGGAGAAAAAAGTAGAAAAATGGTGTATATCATGGCGCTGTTATAGAATATACTTGGATATATTTGGTGTTGATATTGAAAATCATTTTCATACTAAAAAAAATGTTGTTGTGAACAAATATTTGTCTAAATGCTCAAGTGTCCTGGTTGAATTGCTGCAAACTTATTTCTGAACAAATTTAAAATTAATAAACTATTGTGAAATTATGATTTTATTGAGAAAAATAAATAGTGAAAAATATTTATATTTTTTATATTCTTCCTGTAGATGTACTGAATAGGCTAAGGCCTTTTTTTGAGAAAACTTGCTAGCTTAAAGCTTTCTATAGAATACCTTTTACATAGGTAGTTTGTATATAAATACATGAAGAGAAAAGTTCTTGTCCTAGAAAATGATTTTTGGAAGATGTCATTAGACAAGTCCTTGTACCTACCCAGGATCTCTAAGTCTCAGTGAGTTTTGCTCTGCCAGATCTTGGGGAACCCTTGTGAGCAAAGTCAAAGAGAAAATGGAGGTAGGAAGGGTAAATGTGTGGCAATCATTCTTTTCTGAAGAGAAGCTTTTTCTGTACTTGTAGAAGGTATGTCTGACTAAAACTATTAAAATACAGTTTTAAGGCAAGTCTGGCATGCTACAACTAAGTGAGGACATTCAGCAGGCTCCCTGAACGCTCTCTGGTCAATGAGTGCTACAAATAGGTGCATAGATTCAAATATAATGTTGATGATTTCTAGATTTCTTGGAAAAATTCAAATTCATTAGGTATGTTAAATACTCCTAAGGTAACCCTAAAGAAGTTCTAAGTTACTGCAATACCAATCTGTCCTTGGAGGTCACTGGGTTTGTTGTCCCTTCCAAACTTGTTTTTAAAGGCAGAAACAATCCTTTGGCCAGCAGTGCTTTGGTCCAGGATTGACTTGGCCACACTGAAGTACTTCGTACAGCTCTGAGTGCCCCCTCCCTGACCATCCCCTACAACAACCTGTGGATTCACTGCTCAGCAGCTGTGGACAATGTTTCTGTAGATACTGAGTTAATTGGGGGCTTTCATTCTTCATTTGAAGTGAATCTCTGTAACAGGTCAGAAGTCTTAGGACTTCTGGGCTAAATCTTTGAAGGGCCAAATGGTCTTTGATTTGCTGTTTCTTCAGTAGCAGCCTTCCTCTTTCAGTTTGCCAGGAGCTTTTATCATGCCTGCCAGAGGAGGGAAGAAAAAGGGAAGCTTCCCTTTTTGTAGGCAGCAAGCATGTGCAGGTACAGGGCTAATTCATGTGAAAGTTTATTTTGCCACAGCCCATTTTGGGGGCAAAGAGTGAGTGAGAGTATTTTCCTCTCCCCAGCCATTACCTTCTCAGAGGCAGTGAAGCAAAAGCAGCTTTCCAGGAAGGATTTGAATAAAGAGTACTGTGACCTTGTGGATGACAAGAAAATGCTCATGCAGTGAGCAATGTCAGATCTCCATCTTCTTTGTGGCTGGATACATCCTGGAGGGCTCTCTCAGACAAAATGCATTTCCCATCACAAACCAGCTTCCTGCATTCAGGATGGTTTCTAGCTCTGGCAGCAAATGCTCCAAATCTGTGGCATCAGTTTTATTTTAGGTTTTACTTTTGCCAGCAGTGCTGTGTTCTTGAATTTGACTTTGCTCCACATTGCAAAAAAATATACAGACTGCCTTTTCCTACTCTCTGTCTCCCCTTGGACATCCAAGAACAGAGGGATTGTCCTGTGTCATTCCTGTGGACTCCTCTGCATGACACATCACATGCCAGCTGGAACCACAGTTGACTGGACTGCCTTCTCTGCCACTTGCTACCATGCATTTCTATGTGCTTACTTTCACTCTGGTTGTTTTCTGGTGGGTTGTGTTGCTGTTTTGCATGCAAAGGGAACAGCTGGGAAAGGCATTTTTTTCTATGAGTAGAATTGTATCAATATTGCATAATCTATCTCCATTTTCAGTAAGTCTTCATTAGACAGCCATACAGGGATCCCCAGGTGACATATAATAAAGCCCCTTTCCATGACAGAAACATACCCATTAACAAATTTTACATTTTCCTTTCTTCCGTTGCTCACCACAGAAGCAATTTCAGTAAGAGCCTTATTAAGTCTTTGCAGGACTGGAACATATGCTGTCAAAGGAAGTACTGTCAAGACTAAAGGAATGAGTTACTGGGCATTTTCTGGCTCTGAAAATAGCTTTTAAAAATTCAAGTAACTGGACACAACGGACACTATTCTGTTTAGCATCGTGCCCCTAAATTTGAATCTCTTTGTTACCTAGAGTAGATAAGATACAGCAATGATTGTTCAAACATACTGTATCAGAGACCTTTGCACAGACTACAGCCACTGCAAAAACAATCAGTCCCTGCAAAAGCTGTTTGCTTTGCCTGGGAAACCACAGGAGCTGGACATGGAGACTCACACCAGGCCAGACAATACGACTGCTGGTACCTCAGAAGAGAGAGCATTCCATTATTGTACTATATGATCCTAAATACTGTCATAAACTGCTAATATACTAATGTGTTCATAGTCTATTGATTGATACTGGGAATAGTATTCTGGGTTAGTCTGACTCATTTGTAACACTGCACATAAGCAGAATTTTTTGTAGCACATGGCGTGTAGGAAAAGGGATTCCACACATGCTTTATCTTATCATTGAAGTATTAGTGTTACAGTTTCTTTTATAGTGTACTAAAAATAATTTTATTTATAAATCTTCTTACTCTCTTCAAGCATTTGGGACACCATACAAAATTCCAGAAAGAATTTAAAATGCATTAAAAATTATATTAAAGAGCCACAGACTGGAAGTTTTAATAAAAACCTGATCAAGGGTGTCAAGGGGCGAGAGATGTTATTCATATAGAGTCAATAGAAAGAAAACGGAATACACAGTTAGAATGTTTTGAATATTTTTAAGACAAGGAGACAGAGATTGAGGGAGACCTGGGAAACAAGAGCCATACTGGGCTCCCTTAATGAAATGCTTTGGCTGGAAGAGGAGCAGCAGGGAGGGGCTGCTGCATCTGCATGAGGCCCGGGGGCCTTCACTGGTGCTGTGCTAGGATGTAACTTGCTCTGGGGGGTTCTTAGGGGCTCTGATTCTCCTCTTCCCCCCTGACTGGTGCAAAAGCATGTGTGCTGCTTCTGCAGCTGAGCTCCCCAGGGCCCATGCCACTGACTTTTGCCCTGGTCAGCGTCCTGCTGGCAGCCAGGGCCAGCCTGGGACACGGGGCAGGACAGAGGCCAGCGCTGTGCCCCTGCAGTTACCCAGCTCTGGTTTACATTTGGGCAGGGTTTGTGCTGCTCAGGGTGTGAGAGGTGCAGCATGGTGTGCTGTGAGCATCATGGCTCAGCTTCAGGCTGGAGCCAGGCACGGGAGCGGGCGAGCAAAGCGCGTGTGGCACCCAGCACAAGCTGTGAGCAGCAGAGAGAGCTGCTGGAATGAGCCCTAAGTGGAACCACAGCCACTGAGCCCTGTGGCCCTGGGAGCACACGCTGCTGCTGGGCTTCCCAACCCACTGCACAAACCATGCACGAGGAGTAGCTTTTGGGAAGCTTTGCTTCCTAAGCATGGCTGCTGTAGTGAGATGTTGGTAAAGGAAACGCTGCTTCTCTGGAGACATTAGATTGGACTCAATGAACTGACAGGTCTTTTCCAACCTAAATGATTCTATGATTGGAAGGTGAAATCTGTTGGGTTTTGACTCCTTGAAGCTGCTTGCAGAGCTACCTACACCAAGTGCATTCTGACTTACAGACAGTCCTCAGAACCTGTGAGTGCCCTCAGCCATATTCAACACACTCATATACAATGGTTTTGTGAAAGAAAATGTTCCTCCCACACAGTAAAGCATGAATGAGTAAATATGAGCAGTAGTCACACTACATGTTATCAGCACTCACACTCAGACATTATTGATACATATTCTTAATTTTTAGACCAAGGATAGCTTTTATGCACTCACTAAAATATACTACAGAAGGTGTCACTGGTTACACAGGAGCTGCAAATGTATTTCCAGGCCACATTAGATAATTGTAATTAGATATTGCTGGGTTTACCTTGTATTTTATCATCTAAGATAGTCTACAGTCAGTAGCATAAGAACAACATTATAAAGAAAAGATTTTTGCTAGGAGAACGGGCATGTGCAGCAGGGGTTTGCAGTGTTGCCTGCTGTCAGTCAAAATTTGCTAGCAATGTCATTGAAGGTCAGAATCCCAATATCTCTGCAATCAAAGCTGACAATGACACATTCACTAGATAGATAGAAGGAAGGCACTTTTCCACTAACTGTCCTAAAGTAATAAGTGAAAAATTAAAACTTTTCTTTTAAATATACTGCACATATTGTAGCAAAGTAGGTTTGGATTTTTTTCCCTGAAAGAAAATAGCAATGATAAAATGGAAAATGAAGAAATAGCACCTGTCATTTTAACCAGCTGTAGCTTATTGTTTTCCAGTGTTTTTTAAAGGTTCACAGCTGTGGAATCAAACCAGTGGAAAAACAATAATGACTAGAGTTGCAGAAGGGAAGCTAAACTAAGAGGGGCAGTAACAGGCAGCAAAAGAGGCTCAAAAGAAAATAATGTATATTCTAATTTAATCTATTGATGCAAAACCAGAGATACTCTTCTGTTTCTTCAGTTCACTCTGTTTGCATTTATGCTAAAGTTTTGGTTGGGAGCACAGTGCATTTTAGAAACAAATTTCCAATTTTCCACTTAATATGTATTGGTTCACTTTAATCCACAGAGAGAACTAAGCCAAAAGGGTTCCCATTTCACTGCATCACTCCCTAATGTAGATCATACATACTTCAGCTACCACGAGCCTATCAGAGGAAAAATCTAGGGGAAGAAGCCTGGGTAAAACCAATATTTGACTCTCTCAACCCCAACACTAATGCAACCTTCACCCTAAACCTAGCCCTACCCCATACCCAAATCCAATACCATGGCTGGTGCAAATCGGAAAGCTGGAGGAACAGCAGTACTGGAGTCTTGCCTGGATTGTTTTGGCACTCTTTTTCCAGCCCCAATGTTCTTGGAGCTGCAGAATGTTAGATAGACTCTCTCAAAAATCCCAGACACAGAATGATGATGATGTGCTTGCCCACAAGCAAATATTGCTGGGAAGAGACTCATGCTCAGAGCAACCATGTCACACCATGCAAGAAACTGTTAAAAGTTAATAACATTTAAGCACTATCATCTGTGTAGATTGAAGATTCCATTACCAATTTCCAGACAAGTCAGTTTTGACTTGAAATAATGTTTAAAATAAATTACTGCCCCAGATGTTCAACCAGACATTCTGAAGGAAAACCTGACATGCTTGCCTCCAAGAAAATGCTTCTTGGAAAAACACAATTTCTCTTCAAATCAGAGTCCCAGTTGAGACATCTTTCATCAGTTGAAACAACAGCATTGAACTGTCATACAGACAGTGTGAGAAAACAATGGAGAAACAATCCAGTATCATGGGATGGAAGTTTCATCCCAAAACATATGAAAAACCAGTGTTATTCACAGAAAACTGGCTCATTTTATGTTCTCATAGCTGTGAAACCAGTACCTGCCTAGGAACTTTCTCTGCTAGATTGCTACTAGATAGCAAACCCCTGATGCTATCTTTGACTTCATGGACAATTTTTTCCCTCTTGAAATTTAGGATATGTCTGCTAAATTACCATGCCAACAAAGGTTGCCTGTCCCAGGAATCCTACCCCAGAAATTCCAGGAAGTCCCAGAAGTAACTTGAACAGTGGAAGTTTGAGTTATTTCACTGTCCTGCCACATATCAAGGCTCTTTTCTCCAGTTCTCATCCTGTGCATCCTTAGAAATATATGGATGGGTTTGATGGTTTCCATCTCTGTGTCTTGTTGCTTCAGAAACTTCAGAGGCACTTTCTAATTTTGGATGAAGCCAAGAGGAGCTTTTTCCTACTTCTTATACCCTATTCTATGACATCCTTTCCCTAAATTCCTCCCAGAAATCTCAGCACAGACACTTAGTTGGAGCAATATATAAAGCCAACTCATCTTTTTAAATTTTTTTTCCACCAGTTACTGTAATGATGACCTGCAACACTTGGGTTCAAATCCTGCTGGCCAAGAATATAACACTTCTTTCTCATCAAGACAAAATAGGAACAATGTTGAATAAGTAGTTGTTTTATAAGCACAGGAATCTCACAGCTGATTTAATAAAATTGAATTCCTGGTACAGGAGGGAAACATTCACAAAGGAAGGAAGAAAATAGAGCAAATATTTTGCAATGGTGAGTTTCACACACCCAGCCTGTGAGTTTGGCAACCAAATAGACATTTTGAAGAGCTAAATGGTAACATAAATCACCTGGCAATTTATTATGAAGTGATTATATATATTTCAGTAGATGTCACACAACATTACTGCATTAATTAAAATTGAATTAATATAGGGCACCTTGCCATATCTAGCAATATATCAAAGCATAATTTGCAATATGAGTTCTGCCCTTACTGTAGGGCACTCCCCACTTCGGGAATGGTTGTTTGCTTTAGCCTTTCTTGGTTTATTTTTCAGCTGCAGTTAATTTTGGAAGAACCATTATGTCTTTCTAAAAAAGACAAAACCAATAAACTCAGTACACTAAAAAGCATTTTAATTTGTGTTCACAAGGCTACTACTACTACTACTACTACTACAGTGTGGATTTAGTTTTGCAGCCAGGGTCAAGTATTAAGTAGAAGTGCTACTTATGGGACACTGAATACTGTATGCAACTTATTTTAATTCAAGTGAAAGTTGTCTCCTTCCACCAACAGAATGGGTGGAGGTTGCAAATACCTTCTCTCTTTCAGTGCTGTTAACACTGAGAAGGAATGAATGTCCTAAAAAAATAATGAACTGTGTTGAAAAAATGTGAGATTCTTAAAATGAATTCATATGGGAAATCTTTTTGTATACTTTCTTATTTCTGACCCCTTAGAGCTGAAGTCCTCCAGTTCTCCATCTTCAGTGAAAGGGAAGGAACAGAGGAGAAAGAACGATGCATTAAATAATAAAACAATAAAATACCAAAAAAGAATTGTACCAATTATTCTGTTTGGATGAAAGCTTGTGTCAGCACCACTGGATCCATGACAACAGGAAGGAACATGGAAGGAGTAACTTCTCATCACCAACAAAGAAGTTTATTAGAGGAAGGAAACAGCGGGAGCCCCTAAGCTGCTTTATCTCTCTCCCTAATTCACAGTGAAATTCTGCTAGAACTCTTCTTTGATGGTGAGAAGTTAAGAACTCTGTGCTTCACCTGTTGATAAGTATTCAGGATCAACTTTTGGAATCACAGCAGTTGAACATTCTTCTTTCAATGATGCCTGCTTTTATAAATATTATTTTCCTCATTTCCCTTAAAACTTCTGCCAGGCTTCTGGAACAGAAAAGTTCTATTCTTCAATGACCACAGATACTTCTTAGAAAAATGCAAGCTGCATTCACATGCATCTGGAGGCTCAGTTTGGCTTTTAGCCCAGGGATGAATTTATTTGTAGATGATTTTAGAAATCAGTTCCACTGTCTGAATCTGATTTTCTTTATAGCAAAGACCAGCCCCCCTAAACCAAGAAACCTAATTAGGATGCTATGTAACTGCCATAATAATTAGCACAGCTTCTCTGTGCATTCTTATAAAATGAATATTTACATTGCTATATAGGATTTGCAGTGAAGTAGTGTGTGAAGAGTCTCTTGCTGTGCTTGGTACTGTAAAATTCACTTTGCAAAAGAGGGACCTTCTCCCAGAGAATTTAAGGCTTTAGCAGGTGACTCGTTCACTTTTTGTTAGGTGACCTAAAGCCTTTAAGGCCTGGCCTATACACAAAGGCACGGAAAGTGTTGTTTGATACTGATTTGATTAAATTGGAGCAACTTTTCCACAAGAGTATTCATACATTGGTTTAATTTGTGTTGATGAATTTACAAGCATGAACTAAATTTGCATAATCAGTCTTAGCCTGACATAAAAAAGAACAAGCACTAAAATTGCACCAGTTAGCTAAATGGATATAAATTAACCCTGAAGCCCTCTCTGAGCAGAATGAAGCCTCAGAAATACTATACAGCAGCAGAGAAAATCATCCAACCACAGCAATTCTATTTATTACCTAAGGATTAACAATATAAGATTAAAAAGATGCAAAACCAATTCAAAAGTATTCCAATGTTAGTCTGCATTGAAAATGACCTATTTGAAAAGACACAGATTGAAATGCAGATTTGGGAGCTGCAGGCCAGCTCAGCCTAAGGCTGTGGCAGGAGCTGCAGAGAGCTGTGGAGGCTGTGCTGCTGCACACCTCCTGCTCCCTGCAGCCCTCCCGTTCATCCCCAGCCTGAGCTCCACTGCTGCCTCCCCAGGACAGAGGGATGCTGAGAGTGGGGCTGCTCTCCATCCTGCCACAGGCACGGAATGACTCCTCTCGGGTGTCACACAGCCAGAGCTCTGCCCAGGTGCGTGCCCAAATGTTTGAACTTTGCATTTAACAGAGGCTCATCCACTCCACACAGCTTTTATAGTAATTAAAAATCTGAATCAAATCATACTCATTTCGCCAGCAAGTCCCAAAGGAACACTATAAAGTAACAGCAGGACAAAAACCGAGAGAGGGACTATTACAGTATTACAGTATTATTACAGACTGTAGGGAAAGATGTAAATTACAAATAATGAAGGAGAAGTACTGCAAAGATCTATAATCTCTGTATGAAGATCAACAACAGGCTTTTGAAATGCCAAAAAATTACACCCATGATAAGGCAATGTCACTGTGGGAGAGAAAAAATTGTGACAAATAGTTTGTCAGAAAGGTAAGAAGCATTTGATCATCTTTCCAGCTGGGGCAGTGGTTATTTTTTTTATTATTGTGATTTGCAAGGCTCTGGATGGAGCTGAGCAATTGCTAAAAAAAAAATAGTTTGACAACAGTTCAAATTAAGAAAGAAGTTAATTTTTCTGGATCATGCATTTTATCTTGTGTGGTTATCTGAATTGCTCATGGGATATTTTCTTTTTGTGTTAAGGAAAATAATTTTTGATAATCACATGGATACACCTATTTTGAATATTTGTATAACCATCTTGAACATCACTCACCCTCCCACCCCACCCTTAGGGTGAATATTTTCAGATATCTGATCAGAGATCAAGAAGGATATTCTATATCAGAGCTGACCAAATAGACACTGTTAATAAGTTAGAAAACAATGAATAATCAATGTTTAGTCAAAAAGATCAACTTGCAGATTTAAAATAACTGGCAAAGTTGTCAAAACAGGACTGTTCAGTGACAGCTGACAAACAGGAACAGAGAAAATATAGCTACTCCATCATTTGCTATGAAGTTTGTGCCCTCTAATTTCTCAAGCCAATTCAAACCAACCACTTCCATATCAAATGTGTCTGATGGACAGCCTCAGAGCTGAGGTAATGTGATTTTTTATCTGTCAAATACTGCACATTTGCTGTGAACATTATGGATTTTAATTTTTTTTTTAAATTAATGCACTTCAAATGTATTCTATTAAGAATCTCTGGAATAGTCTTCTTTATTCACAGAAAAAAAAAAAAAGATTATATGTCAGTGTGGGCTGTTCACATGGACTTTATAGTGCCTCAGTTTTCAGAAGGTGCAAAACTCCTGCTGAGGGCACCAGCTTGGCTTCCTTGGTACATCAGCACCCTCCAGTAGCCTAATGCCACCACCTTCATCAACCAATGCAAAAATATCATTATTTATGTGCATGAGGAACTGCATTCAGACTATGTATAAGCCATCAACCTGCCATGGAAGCAGCTGACCTCTACACTTTGCTGATCTAGGTTGGCACATCCTGATGTCAGTCCTGAAACCTCTTGGTCATCTTCAGTGATATTTAAGAAAAAACACAAGATGTTAACAGTGGATGACTGCCAGCTTCCTGTGGGCAAATGTCTTGTATCACTATTGCCCAAGACAGACACATGTTCCTAGGTGGAATTCTCAGCTGACTGACATTTGTTCAGCTCTATAAACTCCCAAAGCAGGGAGGTTGTTTCACCATAAGGGAAGGACATCCATCCATGTGCTTTACATTTCATTTTCCATACCTGTTTATTTTTCCCTCTTACTTTACATTCTTTCCCTTTCTGCTAGTGTGTATTTTGATGTAAGAAGGATCATCACCTCCCTCTCAAGAGACAAAACATAATCTGCCATCTGAGAGGAGTACCTGTGTCTGTGTACCACCATCATTTATTCCATGGGTTGGCTGGATCTCTCATCTCTGATGGATTTTCCCTTTTCTTCATCTATCTGTCACAATTCCTTGTAAAACATTGCTATTCAGGCAGTCAGACCAAAGGATGAAGTTTATTTTACAATCGAACTTGCTTTTGCTGAATATTCTGAGCACTTTCTTCCATCTGAGAGAGTTCATGATCTCTGCTCCCTAACTGTTGACATTTATCTGCCCTTTCTTTCATTCCCAGCTCTCTTTCTGTCATTATGATTCTGATTCCAGAATGACCTATTACCATTTGTCTTTTATTCCTGCACACTTTAGGAATGACACCTTTTATGTTGATATCTGGATGCCTTTTACATTCCTCTCAAACCTTACCCAACTTAGGCAGTTCTTTGTGTGGAGTAGCAAGTCAGCAGTGCAGCCCCTCTGGCTCCTCAGTCACCAAGGGTGAGCACTCCCCTGTGCCTTCCTGGGCCTGTCAAAGGACAGCATCCATCAGATGCCAGTTCTGCACTGGGTTGAGGTCAGGCCTCACATCTCTGTGGGCTGGGGGTAAATCTTGGCCCCATGGTGCATTCAGCAATGGTAAAAGCTGGTACCATCACTCTGGCTATAGACTGTGCCAAAATAATGAGTCCTGCCTTCTCTGCTCTTTTATAAAAAGGACCAAGGGAGAATCTGTACCCTTTTTCTGACACTCCTGCCTCCCCAGAAATATCTAAGGTGGTTTTAAAGAGGGCTGGGGAACAGGGGTCAATGCCACCCACAGCTGCACACTGTGGAGTCACTGGTGGAAAAAGGAAGAGTCCTTTCATTTAAGTACAAATTTTAAACTATGGCTGCAGCAAATGAAGGGTGAAAATGCATTAGGTAAGGTTAACAAGTTTGCTTGACTCAGCTAATCAATAACTAAGTAAAGAAGATTCTCTAACCATGAAGAAAACATATTTATTCCCTTGCAAAGGAATGGGGAGGTGCCTTCTGTGATGCTCTGTATACAAGTGTTTGGACCTTGTTCATATTAAGCTTATACATAAGCTTATATTAAGCTACACATTGATAATCTGAGTATTCTAACTGATGACAGCCTTCTCAGTGCTTAGTTAGAGGAGATGTGTCTAAGAGCAAATGAGCTAAATCACCCAGAGCACACTTCTGGAACTGTTCTTGGGCTGGTTTTTTTTTCTGCACAGCTCATTAGCTATCCAGCACTGCAAAATGCAGGTATTCTTTGCTCCCATTTAATTGAGAGCTTATGATGCAGCACTGCTCTGGAAGAGAATTCAACATCTTTCTCCTCATGGCTTCAAGACAGTGGGGTGTTGATTTTTTGCCCTTACAAAATCCATTTCTTTTGTACTTTTTAAAAATATATATTTTTAATACATGACTCTCCAAGAGCTTAATATCCTAATGTGCCTTTTACAGAGGAGGAGAATCAGTCAAAGACTAAGTAATCTGCCTAAGATCACAAAGGAAGGCTGTGGCAGCATCACACTGAGACCTGAGGTCTCCAGAATCCTATTACTGTGCTCTAACCCCAAGACCATCCTGTCTTTCTTAAAAGCTTTACTATTACATTCAAGTATGCAGAGACTCAGATGGAAACAAAACCAGAAGGCATAAACAAACTCAGCATGACAGTGACTGTAAATGCCTTGAAACAATAGGAAAGCAAACAATAGAAAAACTAACAGATAAAGTTATTTCAGTTCAAATCAGTTTGAAATATATTTGGAAAGTACATTTTAATATAATGAATCTGTATATAATTTACAACTAGTAGTTAATTAGTCAAGGGAC